CCCGGAGTTTTGGGCCAAGGGCAATAGCTTTTCTTGCTTCTTGTGGTGCGACCGTCAATCCTTTGGGGCGACCGTCGATCCGGCTGCACCACTCTCTTAGAATTGTTCAAGGCTGCCACAAGTTGAAAGGTTTCTCCGGCACACAGATGCCCAAAACTTCTGCCAGGGATAGAATCCTACGCCTCCTCCAGCATCCGCAGTGCCATGAGAAAAACAATCCAAAAACCACACTTTGCAAAACACTGTTTGAGATGCATCCCATTTGCAGATGCTCACAGCAGTCTCTTCACTGTGGATCCCATGTGCAGCCGTGAGTCATGGCCACTTCGTCCAGCCAGGACGTCAAGGTCTTGAACATGCGCGGGGCAAAGGACCTGCCGTGCAGGGGCTAACAGGGCCGAACAGGGGAGGGGGCGCAAAGGGACCAGCATCACCGGCATTGGTCTCCATCGGATGGAAATCCCACCAGTGGAACAGAATGGTTATATAACAGGGATGCCTCCGGCCGGAAGAGAACATCAAGAACCCACTTGCTTGCGTGAGACTGGAGACCTGCGAGTGGAATGCCTTCCCCTGTTCTACATGGCTCTTTTGGTACAAGTCCTAGACTCCTAGACCGCAGTTTGGGCCAGCCTTCACGTTGTGCCCGTGCCCATGTTAACCCTGTGGGGTCCGTGGGGTCACCAGAAGCAGCAGAAGGCGAGAACACCCTGGATCACTGTCAGATCGATGTTCTCCGTCTTAGGCTTCAACGGAGTGGTGTTCTGTACCAACACGTCCTGATCCTGTACCAACCGATTCGATCACAGAGGAAGCAGATCCAGAGAGAGCATTGCCTTACCAGAGCTGGAGACCAAAGAGTTGGATGCACCATAGTGCTGCGGAATGGGAGCACGTCCGGTTCCACATCAGTTTCTCCACACCCACCCCATGTTTTCAGACTGGCCGCTGCTCTTGAAAACACAGCGCCGAGCGTGAGCGCCTCTAATACCACCATGCTTGGAACACAGCCTCCGTGCGCTCGCCAGTCCGGTGTCGATCGCCTCCGCCAGGACCATGAGCCAGCGAGTACCGCCTCGAACGCCCGGAACGCGCGCCGCGCGCGCCGCCGCGCCGAGAAGCGTGCACAGGAGAGGGATGGGAGGGAGTATGAGAGTGAGGTGAAGGGAAGTGACAGCAACAGAAGGTAGTTGCAAGTGGGAAGCGGGATGAGCGCTTTTCTGTTACTGTACTTGGTTCTTGAAAGTGACTTTTTTGATCCCCTGGTTTGTGTCAAGTTCTCTTTCAGCATGTTATCACGTGAGTTCTTTTCACCCTATAGGTGTCCTCACTTGATCGGTTTGTTGACGACTCAGTCTCGGTCGACCATGTTTTATCAGCGATGCACAAGGAAAGTTTCAACAAACTCATTCAACCCACATATTTTCCAAGTACAGTAAGGACATTTGGCCAAAACCACCGACGTTTGGCTTCTGCCCGACGTTTGGCTCATCATGCACGCCTCCACCCAGCGGCGAGGACCACCCTGACGAGCCGATCTTTATTGAGGCCCTCGGAACGACGATAGACGGGGCTTCAAGGTTGTCAAGCGGTGGCTGTGGGGTGGTCGGCTCATGGCCCCATGAGGGCTCCATGGACTCTCAAAAGAAGCAGCGCCATGCCTCACTAATGTAGACTGATTATTAATAAACTATCCCATTTGGGTTAAACGTCCTCTTCATGTGGGGATAATAACTAATCAAGAGTCTACATTGACTATACGATCGCCTCCCCAAACTCATATGGACTGCAAGCATGATAGAGTTGAAACTCTGATCGACTTCGCTGACAATCTGACTATAGCGCACACACAGTCGCACACACTTAGACAGAGCGACTCTCAATCTGGCTCCTAGACGGTTGCTGTGCAAATTAACCATACAAACCAGGGATTTAAGACAAGAGTTTGCGGGTACATTCTGTTGATCAATCCTTCCAAGGAAACTGAGCCGGCGGCTTCCGCCCATAGCAGAAGGAATCCAGGCATCACCGAGCATAGTTGTCATACCTTTTGCGCCCGTATACCACGATTACGCTGTCGCCATCCTCATCCGAAAGAGCCCGCCCATCCAGGACCATCCGAAAGAGACTGTATTAGAGGCGTCTTTCACGAAAGGGTAGTGCACGGAAAGGGTTTTGCCAAGACCTATCACTAGCTTTTGGAAGGCCCGGATCATTGGTGGAACCCGGGGGCTATTCGTGGACCATTCGGGGAATGGTGGGCCAGCAGGAAAAACTAACCGTAACGAACACCCGGAAACCTTCGCAGAACTTTGTGGAAGATATTGTTGCTGCACTAACTTCGTATAACCAATGTTTGTAGTCATGAAGTACAGGAAGTTCCCTTAAATAACGTCCTAAAAGACTTCTATGCATCTGGAATCTTCAAGGCAAGCTCCTTTCTTTCTTTTCCTTTGACCCTCAGGGACCCTGTGGATGTCGTCCTCGCGGAGAGCTGAACCGTTCGATTGCAAGGCCGTGCTTCCAGACGAAGTCCATGAAGTGACCTGCATCCGTGCCGAGCTTGGTGGGGCCCGAGCTGGGGCGGTCTGCTAGTCAAGGACCTTCAAGGACGACGCTATGTTCGTAGCTATAGATGCTATAGTTGATAAACGCAACTAATGCCAGGAGCTACGTTCGTAGCTTCTTGAGACTAGCAAAAAAGGCACCTTGCTGCGTTCGTAGCGATTGGACCTCCAGGGAGGAGTGGCAAAAAAGAGTGCCATTTTCCGGTGCGGTTGGAATTCGAACTCGTTCGGGCACTGACGTTGGTTCGAGAGTGGGGTTACTTCGCAGAAACATGGTCCATTTACGTCCATATGCAATATAATACAATAGTGTTGCTTTTTGGAAGTTTCATCATTTTGTCGCTTCTGCATGAGGTGGGGGGCCAATCAAGCTTGGGTTGCCTAATGAAGCGCCCATCATTGAAATCAAAGAATTCACGAAAGCTAGCGAAGCTAGCTGGAGTTACTCTTGCGATAGCAAGGTTTCTTTCGATCGGGTGCAAATCCTAACCCCTGATTTTTCAGGTCGAAGCCCCCCCCCCTCCCCACCTCCCCACCTCCCCTCTCCTCCTCCTTGTCTTCCTCCATCTTCCCTCCCTCCCTCCCTCCCTCCCTCCCTCCCTCCCTCCCTCCTCCCTCTTCGCAAGTTCGACTCCGTTCGACTCCGTCCTGTCGTCGCTCTTTGGCATGCGGTTAGCGTTGCGTATCTTGCGGCCGCACTCTCTCACTCTCACTCTCACTCTCACTCTCACTCTCACTGTCTCTCTCTCTCTCTCCTCTCTCTCTCTCTCTCTCTTCTCTGTCTCTCGTCTTTCCGCCTCTCTTCTCTCTTCTTTCTCTTCTCTCGCAGGAGGATCCGGGCAAAGAGCCACATATAAAGCACTCTTCACCTGGAATCGTTTGCCCCGCCCAACTTGTGCAAGGCGTCCTGCCTTCTGCTACTCCGTGCAGACCCGCTGCTACCAAAGCCTATTTGGCTTCGAGATGTATTTGTAAATCGTTCACCTGGTATCTAAAGCCACATTACACGGGAACAGGGAAATGGTGCTGCTCCTCGCTGCCCTCCACTTTCCCATTCTGGAGCGCTAGCTTTTGCCCCCCCCTTGACCTCAAGTAATTCCCAACAGTTGACTTATTAAATGATTTGACCGCAACTAATAACTAAGCAAAGCCGCAACGCTTGATGGATCCTGAAGCACATTCACATCGCAAGCAACTTCAGATCCTTGCTGGAGATGAAGAGGGGCCCCTTCTGAAGCAACTGGCTCTTTTAAAGACATGCGCGCTCCTCGTTTGCTCGCCACTGAGGAGAGGAATATTATCCAGTGATGGGTGAGGACCGGGTGTCACGTTTGCCCATGTGGGGAAGGAGGTGGTTCGTGCAAAAGGGCAGACTAAAAGCATCCAAGACCGATGTTCCCGTGACTCTTCACGGGTTCACCACTGGCAAATTATAAGGCTCGCCTGGCTTGCCCTAACTGCTTTAACTGCTGCGCTGTTAGCTCATTTGTGAGACCCAAGCATTGAAATGTGTTTCTTACTTGCACCATCGGTGTGGGCGCTCAGGGATTCTTCAGCCAAGTGAGGTGGATTAGAGGGCACCAACTCTCCATCAAGCACTCCTGGTAGGAACTCGCTTCTCGCCCCTAGGAGCTCGGGGAGCTTCAGCCTCAGGCGCTGGCCGACTGGGACGGACGCCGCTCGCGGACCGGACCGGTGACGTGACGGGGTGAAAGTGGACGGTGAAGAAGAGAACTGCCAGAATGGTTTTCCATACCCATATGTACATGGGAATCGGGCTTGCTATTCAATTCTTTCCGTTCAATGCCGTCACCGGAGGTGACCAAATCCGTTGGTTTCACGCTTTGGCTTTTTGGGACCACCGACCACGTGGTGTGCTCAAGTGGTTGCTCGACTTGCTTTTGCGGATCGAGTGTTTCTTCTTATGGGTAAACCTCCCTTCTTTGGGAATTCGTTGGGAATATTGCTTTCCGGATGTTTTGAACAAACCAAGGCGAAGTGTGCCGATTTGTTTTTTCCTCCTCCGTGTTTGCAATGGGAGGAATGCCGGCAGGCCAGTGGATGTTTTTCAGGGGATTGCAATGTTTATGTGAGACAATTACGTTACATGTGGCAGATTGGAGTTGAACCCTTGGGCGGCATGGTGAGGTGCGGTGCACCCCGATGGATTGGGCGTGGTTCCAGTTGGGTAACCCCACAAACAGCAGCAGGGACATGGTATTACGCAGAAAACTGGAATGAAGTGGCTCTACCTTGCAATGGCCCATACATACATAGTGGTCCCCAAATAGATAGACTCGGTTCCCATACATGTTTAGTGGGGATCTATTTTTATACTTAATTTGGGGTCTATATACTGTAATGTTATATATATATATTATATATATACACGCTGATAGACATATGAACCAACCATGTTTGAACCTGACCCGTAGCTCTTTCGGGTCAAATATGCTGCTTGGTAGTCACTAACGCCTCCGCTCTCAGCAGCGGCTTGAGCCGAAGGAGCGACGCTCCGAGGTCGTCCTCGATTGAGACTGGAAGAAATTTCTGAGCACTGCATCATAAAGAGCAGCGTGCAAGTCTTTTGGGAGGTGCCAGGCCGTAGTGGAACGAGTGGGTGCTTCTGAGCCCGTTGGAACTGCCTCCTTTGTTTTAACCTTCACTCATGACCTTGAAACCAGGCACTAAGGGAGTTCTGCACCTGTGTGCAGACTGTGAGGAGCCCCGATGGAGAGAAGCTCTCGTCATAGGTGTGCAGCATCCGTGGTTGCAGGCTTTGGTCAGAAGCAGCAAAGAGGAGGTAGCCAAGACTGGTCTTTCATGCATAGAACTGAACGACACAACGTTTTGCATGGTGGAAGCCGAATTCCATCACCTTCTGTCTGCAGTGGCCAGCGATGTCATGAGTCTTGGGACCAACCCCAAGGAGTCCAAGGAGATTTTGAAGTTGGGCCAGGAGGCCGTTGCAGGGTCAGACGAAGATCTGCACTATGCAACTGCATCCGAGCCAAAGCCAGCTTCGACGGCCTTTCAGAAGCCAAAGAAAGCTGCACAGGCGTCCTCATCCTCAGAGGACAGTTCAGAACTGGGTGTGGGGGCGCTCGCGCAGCTGAAAAAGAGTTGGCTCGGCAATGGCACAAACGACGAAAAGAGAGTCAGCTCCAAAGACCAAAAGCCGTCAAGCAAACGACATTCGAAGAGGTTTGCCATGATAGAGAAGAGCCGAGACAGTCAGATCCACTTCGATAACCCTTGCTTAAGTAAAACCCAGATAAGCTTGGATTAAATAAACCCAGGTCAGGCTTCAGAAAACTGGCATTGCGATCAGGTTTCAGAGAACTGGCATTGCTCCGAGCGTATCACCCTTGGCCATTGAGGCCAACAACACTTTCAGGTGCGCCCCACAAGAAAAGAAGGCAGCTGCGGGCAGTGCCAACACATATATATTTATATGTTAATGTTAACATTTAAATTATCGAATGTAAATGATATAACTTATGAATATGTTCTTCCTGAAACCACCATCCATCAGCAATCCACCTGCGAGGCATTGCTATCAGAGGCCCCTCACCAAGCTATTGCACTTGCATCCTACGATCAGGGAGGTCCTAACATCCAACATCCGTTGCAGTTACAGATGAAACAAAGTGAAAAGGAAAGGGCTTTGTTCTTTTGTCTCCTAACCATACAAGCATCTATACTATAGAATCTATAGAACCACATAAATCCGAAAAACATATACATATATATATATATTAATATATATTTAATCATATTTAATCAGGTGGCCAAAGTAATAACATCGAGGCGGTCTACTCACAATTCACGGAGCTTAAACAAGCTGCTTCCCGCCTCGTCGGACGCAGTCTCTAGCTCGACAGGAAAACATGGGTCAACCCCCGCAGGTGCTGCGACCAGATGTGGTGCTGGACAACCCCTTCGCCGTCCCTGCGACTTGGACGCAGAACATGTCTATGAACATGTCGACGCAGATGGCTACAGTGGTGTTTCTCCGGATCAGAAAGACCCGGAGATTGGTTCATGGATGGTCCAAACTGGCGTCTATATTTTCTGTGGTTTGATCGTTTTTGACCAAGTAGATTGTTTTAGAATTGTGTTATGACGTGTTCTTCGACTTCGCATTATCGTTTTGCTGAGGAAAGCTGGGAAGACTCCATAGATGTGGAGCCCACAGTGACCGCCACCATGGCGATGTGCATTGAGTGCTGCGACCACTTCGATGTCGCTTTGGGCGCCTTTGTGATTTTGTGCGGGCCCAAGGATGAATCGAGTGCAGTAGATTGACCAAGGCCTGGTCGTGGCCCCCAGTTCAATAGACGAAGAAGTCTTCTTAGGTGACTCACTTATGTTTCTTTGTTAACAGGGGGAAATACCCCGCGCACTTGTGCGCATTTCTCAGTGACTTGCTTCATTTAGTTGTCCCAGATCGCTCACATCTACCAGCACCTTACACCCTATCAGGTCCTAGCACCTTTTTTGCATACGAGATAGATGCAAAATGATCAACGAACGGTTTTTATCTCAAGGGTTTTATCCGTCATCCTTCTTTTTCTCAGGGGGGATGTGACTTCGAAAACGACACGGGACAGCCAAAAACGATAGGGCCGAAGCAACATACTTTACTTCGAGTGATCCCCACCATGACATGTCGATCAGTTGTTTTCATGCCATGGTGGTGGGTTTTGTGGTTCTCGATTTTAGGGTTGTATTGTGGGTGTGTATTTTGCGTTGTGTGTTTGAGGCTGTGATTGTGGTTGTGTGTAGTTGGTTATGTATTGTGTGTTGTGTGTTTGTGGTTGTGTAATGTGTGTTGTAAACTGTGTTGTGTTTATGGTTGTGATTGGTAGTGTATTGTGTCTTTGTTTGTGGTTGTGTTTGTTTATGGTTGCGTGTTTGTGGTTGTTTGTTGTTGGTTGTGTCTTGTGTGTGTTTGTGGTTGTGTTTTTGTGATTGTGTTTGTGGTTGTGTGTTTTGTTAGTTGTGTGTTTGTGATTGGGTTTGTGGTTGTGTTTGTGGCTGTGTGTTTGTGATTGGTAGTGTATTGTGTCTTTGTGTTTGTGTGTTGTTGAGGTCCGGGTCTGCCCACTGCAATTTGGCGCTTGCTGTTGATGTCCGGTAGTGCCCACTGCGATTTGGCGCTTGTTGTTGATGCCCAAAGGAGAAGACCATCACTATCTTTAAAAACCTAACAATCCTCACGAGACAGGTGGGGAATCACATATTAATAGTACTGCAGAACATGTTGCTGGCTAAGTTATTTGGAACGGATTTGCTTCAAGGTGAAACCATTTGGCTTCAAAGCAAGCTATGCCCCAAAAATATTGCAAGTCAAGCTTTTGGAAACCTACCTCAGACGATAGGATTTCGATAGGGGAAACCAAACCCCACCAGTTGCGCATGTGGTTTTTCGAGATTGTGGGCGACATAGCAATTGTGAAAAAAACATCCGTCACAGCATTAATGCACAGGAACGGCACGACGCTCATGGAATTTTGCAGATGAGTGCCGCACCGTTGGAGACAATAACGGTGTAACATTGACAACGAATGTAGCCCACATCAGGAATCAGCTCATCATATAGTACGGAAACTGTTTGTTCAACAAACCCATCGACTGAGGACCGGGCGCCAAGAGAATGGTTGGCTTGAGGTGAAAAGACGCGAAGACGGAGAAGATGGCTGGCTCCCCGCCACTGCGCCGCACTTGGTGGTTGGTGCAGCCCACTTTCCACGGAGGAGGGTTGCGTGGGACCCTACTGCAGGGAACCCTTGTGGACGGAGGCCAGGTCAAGACTTGCAAACTAAGTCTACACGTTTGGCGCGGTTATGATCGGTTTTGTGCGGGAAGCTGAACCCCACATGTTTTACCCGAACACCTGTTTTGCAACACATACACGCTTTTGCTCATCATGTCCTTAGAGGGTCCTGGCCAACCGGAAGGGAATGAAGACAGAAGAGCGCTTGCATGGGTGGCCTCCTGCCATGGTCAGATTGGCCGAAACCAAGGGGTATTAGCAATAGTTCCATGAGGAATTGACAAGCACAATCAGAGCTGGGTGCTGTCATATAGGTTACGTGCAGAGAAAACATGAAACATGTGAAACAACTACTTTAACAAACATCAAAATTATTGGTTTGGTGGTTGGTATGCTGTTGTAGGGTTTTTTGATTGATTTGGGCAGAATGTTGATTCATAGGCCGGGTTCCAAATTGTTGTGTGTAGTTCCTTGTGTTCCTTGCCTTCTCCGATTGTGTTTTCTGACGCAATTTCACCTTCCTATTATCTCCTTGTCAGCTCCCTTTGGTCTTGCAGAGGACGTCGGAAGAAACACATGGTCATTCACGGGGCATTGGCAAAGGATATAGAACAACATCAAAACATGCCAAGAGACCCGGCAGGTGAAGCAAACGTTTCTACTCGGCAAGTTGGTCAAAGAGCATTGGTACGAATATAGTCTAATTAATACAAATTCACTGTAATGTAGACTGCTAATAAGTACACCCCCGGAAACCGCATGGTTCTACACCCTCACATCTCCACATTATGGGGGTTATATTGATCAACAGTCTTCGTGCATTCCCCAATGGACCTTCGTTGGGACTTGTACCGAAACTGCACCAACTCGGACGATGATTCACTGTTAATAGCGTTAATCGTTATTTCATTGTTGCACGGGACCCATGCATAACCAGTTCCGGCGGATTGCGGGTCGCGCCCAGGTGGAGTGCGTCGAGTGCCCGCAGCCGGGACAGGTGTGGGCACAGGCAAGGCTTCGATGTTCCGGGCGCAATTGAGCCAAGTGCAACTGGCCCAATGGATCCATGTGGATCCAATGGCCTTGGATCATTGTACGAAGGAAATACGTAGAACAGTCTGTGGCTCCACAGTCCAAGAACCATCGACATCCACAGAGTCGAGAACTTGGGCCGGTCTCGCTGCCTGGAATCCACGACTGTGGGCGGAGTTGGGTGGTGTTTTCAAGGGCTGGTCATATTCAAACAACTAGCACTATAGCACTTAGAGTTGCGCGTCACCTTAGCAGATGAGACAGAGATATTTGGACCATGTCAAGATCCTGGATGTGGAATAAACATGAATATCTCTGACGTTCGGTCGCTCGGGCGCGGCGTGAGCGGCGCCGCGAGCTGCGTGTCCGGCCGCGAGGCGGCTCAAGTCTCTGAAAAGGGGCGAGCAAGGTCAGCCGCCCTCCTAATGGGTCGAGATGATGTCCATCTCCGCAAAAGCCGACGACCAAGGTCGAGATGAGAAGGGTTCAAATCGATAGGAATACCAAACATAGGGGTATGGATACCAAGACCAAGCAAAACACCCGAGGGAACCCGAACAAAATCGACGTCCAACTGACGACAGAGATCGGTAAGAGCAACCCTAACCATATCGACCATGGTGGTGACCGTCGGTCGAACAAAAAGGTCCTGTACCTGCCTCATGACTCTGCGGCCTCCAACTTCTTCAAAGGGAAACAAGCCGGAGTCAACGAAAGCGTAAAGAAAAACGAATTCGAGAAAGCTACAAACGGTTCTACGGCTCTCAGGACCTCCGCAGCGGCGTAGCCAGCCGACCAGCTCCTTGTAGAAAGCGGGCGGCAAACGGCCTGGCTCCACCTGAAGGTCTCCTGTCGTCACCAGTGCAGTCGTCAGGGTAGGTGGAAGTCCTGAGTCGGTGTCACTGGAAATGACAGTCTCAATGTGCTCTTCTTCGGTAGTTCGCAAATCTCCTGCAGAAACAATGAACTGCAACAAATGTTCTTGGCGGTGTCGCCAGCAAATATCGTAAGCGGCGACCCGTTCAAACAATGCCAACACTTGTGAAGGACGGTTGGAGTTCATGTATCCAGCAATTCGATCTGCAACATCGTTCCACTTACGAAGCCAGTCTTCAAATGGCGATTCGCAGTGCCTCTCATCAAGGTGACTGGGCACCCAATGGAAATAAAACTGTCCGACTTCTGAGGCATCCAGGGCTGCGCTGAGCCCCAGCCAAAGGTCCTGGTGCTCCCATGTGTGTGGTATGACCCCCGTGTTCTGCACAAAGGCGGCCCCAAGTGCAATATGCTGGGAATCCGACCACACATGAACTTCAGCTTGTGTCTCAAGCAGTCCCCATCTGACCGTGCTCACAAGGGCGGTGAGCTCCGCCCTACCTATTGACTGGCATGGACCATGAAGAGGGGCTCCACAAATGACTTGACCCGTAGTAGCACTCACCGAGGCCCATGCAGAGTGAGCAACCCGGGATTGTCTATGTTGAAAATGAGCTCCATCCGTAAAAACATGGTTCTGGCCAAAACATGGTCTGGACAAAAACTCAGTCGTACAATCTGGCAGTGCGTCAAAGTAAGCAGCGAGTTCGGTCACCAGCGCA